TGCGCAAGATGAAGACCCTGAACTACGCTGCAGCCCTTCGGTAAGCGCTAATGACTTTAAATGCTATTACTCATAATACTTTGAGGTACTAATTTTGTTATTGTATTTTTTTGTTTTATAAGTTTCAAAACTCCACTTCGGCCAATCATACGCCAGGACACGAGATGGGGATCGACCTATGCAATGGTCGAGCGCTATTTCCGAATTTCCGAATATTTACCTGTGGAAGACGACGACGTCGCGGAGCTGCTACCAAGTCCGAGGGCCATCAAGCGCCTACGCGGCCTCCTGGTGGACCTGTCGCGAGTGCAGAACGTCAGCAAGGCGCTTCAGTCCGACAACATTACAATGCTGGACGCACGAGTGTGGCTGGACGGCTTAATTGACGTCGAACCATCCTTCCACCAGTATTTGGGTACGTTTCAGCTAATAGTTTTGTATACTTATGTGAACTAATTGTTTTTGTTTTAAAACAGAGCCACGAGCTGATATTGTGCATACCCCCGACTTCGAGATTGCATGCACGAAGGTTCTGGCAGGAGATGCAGCTAAACTCACTCGAGCGCAGCGCCTCCTGCTTCAACCTTTTGAAAAACAGGAGTGTGAATCGGAAGAAGAGAGTGAAGGAGAATCATTTGTTGCCCAGTTGCAACGAAAAAGGAAGCGAGCCCAACGAGTGCAGACGTATGCTCTGCTTGCAGCTATTCCGCCTACGTCAAACATCGTTGAGCGATTCTTCAGTCTTGCCCGTATAGCGTATGGGCACGAACGTCATCGCATTGCTCCGTACACCCTCGAGAAAATCCTTTTTCTCCGTGTTAACAAGCGCCTCTGGGACATTCACACGGTAAATGAATGTCTTTAGCTGATGAGCAATTGACACTGCGGTTTTAGCATGCAGTTTACGCAGGGAATATATTGCAGTTATTGATTTCTTCTGGATCTTGCACTGCATTACTTATTCTATCTGTCTTCAAAGTTGCACGGCATTATTTACGAGCACATGAGGTTTTGTATCAATGAAAATGCCGTATTCGGCATCCCTGCCCAGAGCTCGTTACGGACATCATCATCTCGCTTCTGCTGCTTATCCAGAAAATGTGCGAATACAACGCGCAGTCCTAGAAACTTTTCCATCCGCGTGGGCTCCTGCAGTAAAACAGTGGAAAGAAGCTAAGCAACATATATTTTTCACTTTAGACCTTGATATTCCGAAATCTGCTTATCCTTTTCGTGCTTTAACTCAATTCCCCAGGCGGTTTGATCGGTGAACGGCTGAGGAGAGCTTTCAACGTTCTTGCCAATAACGCTTCCGTGCCGATGCTATCCCAGCCTCCGCCTCAGCCCTAGTGGTACAATGAAATCGCCTAGTTTACCTAACGAATGACCTCGGAAGATTCGTTGTGCTTTTAATCGTGTTTACCATCTGTGCTAACTGAATGCGTTCGTCATATAAAATGGCATCCTTACACATTCACTATCAACTAGTGGTCACAAGCTCATCCAAGCAAGAGTGGCGGAAAGGGCCAACACGCTCATCATCACTACGTGAGCATTAGACTTGAAAGAAACAGCCGACGACTTGGTAGCAGTGGGTGTGTCCGTTGCCTGTGAGGCCGCTGAAGGCACACTTGTTGGTGTTTGGTCCGTTATTGTCGGCACTAGAGTAGCTGTCGTCGGGGTTGGAGTCGTCGCATTTGGCCACGTTACACTGTCGTCGTTACACAGTGCGAGCGCGTCTGCAACCCTTTGCTTAAAGTTGAAGCCGCTGTAGGTGCAGTTTGGCAGTCGAGCCTCCACGTCGGTCATAAGCGCAACGCATGCGTTCTCAGCACAGTATTCTTCTTTACTCATGGCGTCTGTAGCCGCTCCCGCACTTCCAAGACAATCTGCGCTTTTTGAGACTTCAGTGTTGATATCGTTGATGAAAGTGACGTTCTCGGTAGTGCAAACCGGAACTGTATCGGTCGTGATGACGACGTCCGAGTTCGAACCCCGAGAAGCAGAGCTCAAACTTGAGGGAGACGCAGCGTCGCACATCGCTACCAGCTTTTCCATCGTTTCCCCGAGGTTGGTGCCTTCGAACTCGCAATCCGGAGCGTCGGGCTGGAGCTCCCGAACGAGCTTTATGCAGGCACCAGCACAAATCTCCTCCACGGAGTTGATGCTGTTGTCCAAGGCGCTACCCGCACAGTCTGGACTGTTGGAATACGTGGCAGCTACACTTGTGAGTTGCGTTAGTTCGGTCGACGTACAAGCCTTGGCAGTGACGGTCGGAACCAGAACCAAAATTGCAGCTGATATCGCGCAAGCGACACTAGACCATGTTGTCGTATAACGCATGATACACTGGTTGAAAGTCGCTAGAAGGAGGAAAAACTCGAAGTGGCGACTGCGCGACGAGCATTGAGCAAGTCGGTGGTCAGTGGCTCCGGATTTCGTACCCATTTTCAACGAACAGCAAGAACGTTTCATGTTCCCGATTTTAGATACATGTACCTATGTAAGTAGCATATGTTTAAAACTGTGTTTTTTTCGCTTAATTCAACGACGATAGTCTAGCAGCCCTCCTTCACTGCATTCATCCAAGTCAATCCTCCTATGCGCGTTGGGGGTCCACAAGCATGCGTACTTGGCGTTACTGGCCTCGGCGTCGTCCGTCTTGTCCTGCGAGACCATACCTCTGTTCACGGCACAACAATAGTTGAACAGCAAATGGCAAAATGACCCAACAAACATAATATTATTGTAACGCAGTTGTTCATTGCACGCGACAATCGACTGCATTTGATGCACAAGTGCTCACAAGCTAATCCAAGCAAGCACAATAATTGAACTCACCACCACGATGCTTGCACTGAAATTCAGGGCAACACCGGCCGACTCGGTAGTCGCGGGTGTGTCTATTGCTTGTGAATTCGATGAAGATGGGACGGGTGTTGGGATCGTCGTTTCGGTAGGTACTGGTGTGGTCGCAGGGGACATCGTCGAGTTTGGCACCATCACAACGGCGTCGTCGCAGAGTGCAACCGCCTCTGAGATCACGTGCTTTGCGTTAAAGTCTTCGTAGCTGCAGTTAGGCAGCCGAGCCTCCATATTTTCCAAGTACGCAACGCACGTGAGGTCGGCACAGAATGCAACTTTGGTGATGACGTCTGCAGACACATTTCCGTTGCAGTAGTCGCTTTCCTCCGCTTCCAGGTTGATTTCATTGATGATAGCTACATCCTCAACGGTGCAATTGGGAGCCGTAGCCGTCGTGGCGGTAGTTGAGTTCGAGTCGTCGGGAGCAGATGAAGCTGAAGCTGAGCTGGAATCCGACGTAGCCGTCTCGTCGCACCATGCCACCAGGATCCCGTACGATTCCCCGAGATTGTTGTCATCGAATTCACAGTCAGGTATGTCGGGCAGCAGTTTGCGCATGAGCTTTAAGCAGTCACCCGCACAATACTCACTTTTGGAGGCGTTATTACTGTCAAACGCACCACTGGCACAGTCGGGAACGCTAAAGTACACAGCTGCTACACGTTTGAGTTGTGCTCGTTGGAAAAAGGTGCACTCCTTTGCTGCGACGGTCGGTACCAGCACCAGAATCGCAGCAATCACCACTAAAGTGATCCTACAGGTAGATCGCATCAAGATATGGTGCATGGTTGATTGCACGGTTGCAGGTTTGCGCTTTCGGAGGAGAATGGAATGTGTCGATAACAAATCGAAAGAATGAACTGTAAGGGGGCAGTACATGCAGTATCGGTCTTCGATAGAAGAATTCATTTTTATGGTACCATTGAAGTTGTTTAATGAAGTCGTGTTCCGTTGGACAATCCATTACCGCTCTCTGACGATTCGTCAGTGATGAACGTCGTCTTCATCGAGACGTAATGGATCACCTTTGGCAACGACCGTTATTACCATGCTCCATATTTGTACCCATGTACGTAACACATGTTTAAAACATTTTTTTTTTTCGATTAATCCAACTACGGTAGTCTAGCAGCTCTCCTTCACTGCATTCATCCAAGTCAACCTTCCTATGCGCGTTGGTGGTCCACGAGCATGAGACTAGCCACGAACGTCATCATCATCTTGGGCTTGACTTCCACGATATCCTCGTACGTCAAAAAGACCGTCGCGCCGATCTTCTGGGCGCAACTGATGGCGTACTTGGCGTTGCTGGACTTGGCGTCGTCCGTCTTGTCCTGCGAGACCATGTCCCAGTTCACGGCACGCGGCTCCACTGCATGCACCAAGTCCAGCAGATACAGACCGTCGGACAGCGTCGGGTCCCTGAACGACACGATGTTGCCCTTTGCCCGGCCGCTCTGACGCACCTTGTTGTTGGCCCACCCGATGATGTCCTTGTCCGTGATCTCGCCTCGACCGGCTGCGAGTTCACTCAAGATCTTAAGTTGCTGGTACCGCATACTCTGCCACACGATCGACAGGATCATCTTCTTGGCGCCTTCGAAGATATCGGCGCCTCCAACGTTCACGAGCGAGAACTTGAGCTGCTTGCCTAGTACGACGCAGTAGTTGCAGTTCTCCACCTGCTTGAACTTGTTGGGAGCCACCATGTTGACCTTGTTCCAGGCCACAATCCCCTTCTGGATCTTGTCCAGCACCTTGAGCAGCTTCATGCCATCACTCAAGTCCGAGTACAAGTGGTTGATGTACACGTCGTCGATAGCCAGAGAGTTGATCCACATACGGAACACACGCTCTTCGCGCGTGTCGCCAACGTCATCGTACAGAATCTCCTCTAACTGTTTGATCTCCTCCTCAATCACATCCAAGGCTGGACAGGTGTTGAAGAGCTGGGCCACGAACGACATGTTCAGCTTCGGGTTGCCACTGGTGATATCACGAGGCTTGATGAACGTCTCGACCTCCAGACGACGAGCGTTCTGGATCACGTGAGCTGCACGTTCCTCTGGGATAGACTCCGTGCACAAGTCGCAGTGCTGAGGAGCGATATGATGCAGTAGAACGCTGTACGCCGTCGCATCCTGCACGTCTGTGCTGAAATTCGTCACCTTCTTGGGGTGACCTGCTGCCTTCAAGTGGTAATTCATCCATCGCAGCAAAATCTGGTCAGGCGGGAGCTTCATGAACTCCTCCAACGTCTCTCCGTCCAGTAGCAGTCGCATCAGTTCTGGGTGGTTCTTCAAGTTAATAGTCGACGTCAGTTGGATCTTGATGATCTGCCATACCAGTCCCAAGACCAGGATCGGTTTGCCTTCGATCAAGTCGTCAGGACCGATATTCACCACACTGCAGCCGATACTCTTGGCTGCGTTGATGCACAAGTTCTGGTTCTCTGTTTTCTGGTACACGTTCAGTTCTTTCGAGCGCTTCACGAAGTTGAGAGCTCGTTCATCGATCGTCTCGGGTACAGCCCGGTTGATGAGTTTACACAGTAGTACGCCGTCGCACACAGCTCGGAACAGACCGGCATCCATACTGATAGGCATCAACGACGCCACATCCTTGTCTGCTTGCAGAGTGTTGTTGATATGCTCTGTGAAGGCGACAGTCTCTTCCTCTGAGTATGAGTGCAGACCACCAGCAGTGCCCTTCACCTCGTGGATTGTCGAGTTGTACTGTGCTGCAGCACTCGCACGACGCTGTAGCACACTCAAAGTGTGGGCGTCGACGCCACCGACGTACTCCGATGCAGGCGAGGTTGGAGCAGGTTTCACGGGAGAGCGCGGAGGCGTGCGAACCACTGGAGCTGGCGGTGGCGGTGTACTAGCTGCAGGCGGCCACTGAGCACGTTTCGGAGTTTCTGAGGGACTTGAGGCCACTGGAGCAGGAGACGGCGAGCTAGGAGGCCACTGAGGCTTGGCAGATCCGTTTCCAGCTGGCGGCCATTGCGGGGGTTTAGATACGGGACTCTTTGGTGCAGATTCAACTGGTGCAGCGGTTGGTGGCCACTGCGGCTTCGAAGCACTTGGCGACGTCCCTGCAGGAGGCCACTGAGGCTTCGTGGGGCTCTTATCACCGGCAGGCGGCCATTTTGAGGTTGCAGAGGGAGGAGTAGCCGCAGGAGCAGCAGGTGTAGACGCAGCAGGAGGCCGCTGTGGCTTGGATTCGCTGGATCCTGCAGGAGGCCACTGTGGCTTTGTATGTGTAGGCGCTGCAGTCGGAGCTGCAGGCTGTGGAGCTGACGACGGCGTGTGTCCCCATGACGCAGCTTGGTTGGCAGCAGGTGGCCATTGTGGCTTACTCGCAGCGGGAGCAGGAGCCGCTGCAGGGGTCGTGGGCGTTCCTGCAGGTGGCCATTGCGCTTTTTGAGCGAAAACTGGCGCTTGTGGCGTCGACTCAGGCGTCTGAGATACCGTCTTTTGGCTAGAAAAGAATGGCGTTGTCTCCACGGTCGCTGTGGGCTCAGGGGCAATAGGAGCGGCGGTCTGCGCGGCCTGTGCGACGGGTGTGGGGGCCACTGACGCGTGACCCATGAGCAGCGCTGGGTCCAGAGCGATCGCTCCATTGCGGAAATCGTGCAGAAGCTCCAGGAACTCCTGGAACGAGATCTGCTCGGGTCTAGCCAGCTTAGTCTGTTGCAGCATGACGGTGGTCTGATTGGGCGTCACATTCTCGCCCAGCTTCTGCAGGACCGTGTGTAGCTCGGATACGGGCACAGCAGCCGCGTAGTCGCGGTCGTGCTCCTTGAACACGCGCTTGAGCTCGTGGATCTCTTTGGGCGAGAACTTTTGCAGGAAGACGGACGACACCTGGTAGCTCATGGGCGTCTCTCGGTCTTTGGGGCTTCTCTTTGGGGTGTGACAGTTGACAACGTTCACGGGCGCAGCTTCAAGGGGGAACATTGAAAGCGATAGAGCTGGGCAGTATTGGATTAGAAAGGGATTACGGTTTCGAATTTTTCATGGCGCAACGTTAACGCAACTTTGCAGTATGTTGCTCATCAAGCTTGAAGTGGATTATGTCGTCTATCCGAGGGCTTGTATTGGCACTTTGCCGCGAGCGGAGCGACGGCACTAGACAGAGAAGATCACTGCTTGAAGATGTTACTCTAGTCCTGGACCAGAACCTGGTGGTGAGCTTCAGCCTGAAGGGCTCTGCGCGGCTGAAGCTTTAATCGCGACATGTTTGGGCGGTGGATTTTGTCATAAACAGCGTGGGTTGCGAGCTTATGGGCGCGAAATATTGGGACTGAACTGGGTGGCGATCTCAGTGAAGAAAAGGTGGCAGTAGGCAGAAAGATTCAAGCGGTGACCATTTCAGCGCTCTTGTCGTAAAAGGAAAATACTCTTCTTGTTGGGCTTCGTTGGAGGCGATGTTTATCTTACTCGGTGGAATTCAATTGGTCGACTTTCAAAGTTAATGTGGTGTATTCCTTATTCACTACGTGGACAATGAGCTGACCTGGGTGGTTGATCGGCTGGCGAATGCACAATATTATTATTGTCTTTGTTGGAATCGATAATACTGCACTGGTGCGCTCACTAACTGAGTTGGAAGCTGGAAATTGCAGCAAGTCACCAGCAAATTATAGTTCGGACGAAAGCGCTGCCGAGCATTGGCGTGGTGGTCATTCTAGCCTCTGTCGGCGTGATTGTCAGCGTCGCGGTGAGCAAGAGATCGTCGAGGTCGTCTAGTACGAGCGATGACGCGCCCAGGCAGTACCAGCAAAGGTATCGGCTGCCAAGGCGTCAACACGGAGTAGATCATCCACCATCACGTCCGACAACACAAGTACTACGTACTCGCTCGCAGTTTTTGCCTTTGGCGACTGGGAAACAACAATTACTCGAAGTCCCTTTGTTCTCGGTCAGCGACGTACGGAACTGCAACGATAACGACATCAATGCTGAGGATGATGAGGCGGAATCAACATGCCTGAAGGTGCTTTCAAATAAATCGTCGCTTGGGCAGTGATCGCTGTGACTCTAGTGCTATTACCGAACATCACTACGAAGGCATGCACATTTCTTCAATGCAAAGTATAGCGTCGTATTGCGGCATTCCTGACTGCGCGAGTGGCTCATTCAACAGCAGCTGCATTATGTTCTAGGCGGATTTTTGTGAGAGTGAATGCATGAAGCTCATGCGCGTGCTACTTCCCGACGTACCTTGACGGCAGCAACCCCCTTGCAGAAATATATCGCGCATTGGTGACGTGGTGCGACGCGTCAGATTCTCCCAGAATCCGAAGTGGACTGCGGAATTCATCCCTAATTGCACCGCAGACTATCGTCAGCGACATTAACAAGGAGGAGAGAACGGAGGTAACTGCCGTGGAAATTTGCCTACTCGCGTCACCACGAGTGTGGCATTTTGGATCGACCAGTATGCGTTGCGTACTTAGTATGGGTCAATGTCAAGAAAGTGGTTGGAGACACTTTTGCGCTGTTCGACGACGCTGGTGTGACGTTGCCGAACACGACGACGCCCGGCGACGACAGCATCGCCAATGCCCACAACGTTGACTTAAACACCAATAGTCACGTCTTCTACGGACTCACAAGCAACGGATACACCCTGCTGCAGCCAAGTCGTCGGTATTTGCCTTAAAGTCGAAATCACACGCCACGACGGTGAGTGTGTTGACCCTCACCACCGTGCTCGCTTGTATGAGCCTGTGAGTACTCTTGAATGTGTCTACGCAGACATAGAATGAAATCCGTCTATCTCGCACTTACATGGAGTTCTTGTAGGCCAAGGGTGCGGTAGGTTGAAGAACTATATGAATACTGTGGTGGTTCATGTATCTCGCACCCTTTACCACGACGCAACCTTGCCATTTTCAGCGCGTAGAAGACTGTGTGCTGTTCGTGCGTGCCGAACTATCATTCTAACCATCGCAAATAACATCACGGCCAATCACACTGTTCGTAATGATCACGATCTTGAGACGGGCGTCCCATAGCTGATACCGTCTCCGCTTTCGAGCCTCTCACTCTCGAATTTCCAGCGTAGGCAACACTATCTATCGAACAGCGTAGTACAGCAAACAGGTGAAATACTATGGCGATCCCTAAGAAGGGGATAATCGCTATTGCCGTGATCGTGGTGCTGGCCGTCATCGGTGTGATCGTTGGTATCGTGGTGAGCAAGGGCTCATCCAGTTCGTCCAGTACGGGCGACGGCAACTCCAGCTCGACCTCTGGGTCCAGTAGTACTGCCAGCAGTTCCGACGGCACATCCACCAAATCGTCGTCTTCGACGAAGAAATCGAGCTCAAACTCCAGTGCGTCCACCATCACTTCAGACCCTACAAGTGCCACCTACTCGTTAGCTGCGTTTGCTATCGGTGACTGGGGAACCACCACCACAAAGAGCTCATGCTGCAAGCGCTCGTCCACTTACAACGACTACGATGTCAACGCTGAGGACATCGTGGCTAGTGTTATGAACCAGCAGGCCTCGACTGCTGAAGTCGCCCCTAAGTGTGTCATCGGCCACGGTGACAACTTCTACTGGAACGGAATCGACAGTGAGGACGGACGTGACTCGCGCTTCACGACCACCTTTGAGAGTAAATTTGACGGTGACAACATCAAGACTTTACCGTGGGTGAACGTCCTTGGCAACCACGACTACGGTGGTGCCGACTACATTTGCTCGGACGGTGACAGTGCCGGAAAATGTTCGTCTTCTGACGAGCTACTCACCTCTCTGAAGAATAAATTCTCATGGCAATCGACGTATACGAGTCCTAATGACGATCGTTGGGTTCTGGAGGACCATTTCTACGTCTACTCTATTGAAGACGAAGCTTCGGGTGTTAGTATTGATATCTTCAATGTAGATTCGGGCGATGCTGACTCGCACGGAGCCACAGAGACCTGTTGTCAGTGCTATGGCTACGCTGGTGATGACGATGACAAGTGTGCCAATGTTGCGCGGGGAGACGACGCTTGCTGTGGGGGAGACGGAGATATGTACGACCAGTGCATGGCTCAGTTCACGGCTTGGAGCGATGATTCACGGAAGCAGCTGGAGGCGAATATTGCTAACTCGACCGCGACTTGGAAGGTGGTGAATAGCCACTATTCACCTTACGCTCACTATGCTGAGGCCGGTATGGATAAGTGGTTCAACATCATTAACGGTACAGGAGTTCACCTTTGGCTGAACGGCCACACACACGGTGAAAACCACGATTACTCGGCATCTCTCGGTGTGCATTTTGTCGATAATGGTGCTGGTGGCGGTATCCAGAAGGAATCTGCCAGCGGTATCCCGACGTATGCTAAGGATCTGGTAGAGAATCTGTGGGTGTATAATGGTCAGGAGTACGGATTTTTCTCGTTGACGGCGTCTAAAGATTGGCTGAAGCTGCAGTACCACACAACCGATGACAAGTGGTCGTATGCGGAGAGCTTCAACTCGACTACTGTTGGCGGTGTTGCGACGAAGCATTGTTGGTACATTCCCAATGACGGCGCGGAGGGCAAGGAATGCACCTCGAGCTCGTAACTTAGACTTAGTGAAAACTGCAGATCCTAAATGTTTTAGCGATCAGAAGATCCACAAAAAAAAACAAAATGCTGAAGCCATTATGCAATAATGTTACTTCGAAATAAAAAATAAGTGTAGCGAATGATCCTTTTCTCTAGTTGTAATGCGTGGTGGTGCGAAGAATCGAAATGTAAACGAGGCGTCTAGTAGTGGGATTTTGACACGAATTTTGATGCCACTTGCTCGTCGTTTGCATCGTACAAACACGACAATTGTGCATTATTTTCTTGCGCCAGACTGCCAGCTTTTGACACTGTATTTCACACACTATCAAGCATCGCTTGTCATGACTGGATTTTCAGGCGCACCAAGACATGCATTCACTGTCCATCGTGTGCTCTCCACTGCGGTGACAGCGACTTGGGCAACAGAGATCGATTTGCTTCTGTAATTTGGCTCTCGAATGCAATGGGATTCACATTATGTAAGAACCGTCATGACCAGACCAGGCCAACGGTCCGTCGGCGACGGAGTCCTGCACCGTGAAGTTTAGACTCAGGATCGGCACAGCACCGAGAACATTACTGCTTCATCTCTAAAAATACACTTTCTATATCTAGTTGCAATAGCATGGTATTTCTAATTATCAAGGGGGAAATTGTTCTGAAAGTTCACCAACAAGATTTTGAAATATCCTAGTGTATTAGTTTTCAGGACCCAATGCGGCGCGTAAACTTTCCGTTCAGCAGTTGATTCCCGGCATATCCTTTTTGACGCCACACGATTGGCCAAAAGGGTTGATTCACATTACACTTTGAGACGGGGGCAAACTGGGGGTCCAGCCAAGCAAGAATTCCTCCAGCTCACTCGTGAACTTGCAGCAAACTGCGAAAGCGCACTGGAGGAGAAGCAGCATAGCACGGTTACACTATAGACAGGAATTAAGCTTGGCATGGCAATCCCCAGACGCGCGCTCATCATCATCGCCGTGGTCGTCGTGCTGGCCATCGTCGGCGTGATCGTCGGAGTCGTGGTCACCAAGGACTCGTCCAATTCAGCCAGCACCTCAGACGGAACGTCCTCAGGCTCGATGTCCACGTCAGGTGGCAGCACAACGACCAGCTCAGGCGGCACCACCAAGTCGTCGTCCTCCACCAAGAAGACCAGCAGCAGTGGTTCGTCGTCCATCACGTCGGACCCGACCAGCGTAACGTACTCGTTGGCGGCCTTTGCCATTGGTGACTGGGGAACTACCGTCACGCAGGACTCGTGCTGTCAGTCCTCAGGCTACACAGACTATGACATCAACGCTGAAGATGTGGTGGCCAGCGTCATGAACCAACAGGCCGCCAACGCAGATGTGGCCCCCAAAATTGTCATTGGCCATGGCGACAATTTCTACTGGTCGGGCATCAACAGTGAAGATGGTCGTGATTCCCGATTCACGACCACCTTTGAGGACAAATTCGACGGTGACAACATCAAGACCCTCCCATGGGTGAACGTGTTGGGCAATCACGACTACGGTGGAGCCGACTACATTTGCTCAGACGGTGACAACACGGCCAAGTGTTCGGATGGTGACGAACTGGTCACGGCATTGAAGAACAAGTTTTCATGGCAGTCAGGATACACCAGTCCTAACGATGACCGGTGGGTTCTGGAGGACCATTTCTACGTCTACAGTATCGAGGACTCGGACTCCGGAGTGAGCATCGATATCTTCAACATCGACTCGAATGATGCCGACTCGCACGGAGGTCTGGAGACGTGTTGTCAGTGCTACGGATACGCTGGAGATGATGACGATACGTGTGACAACGTTGCCCGTGGTGACGACGCTTGCTGTGGCGGTGACACGGACATGTACGACGCGTGTCTAGCTCAGCTTACCTCCTGGGCTGATGACTCTCGCACACAACTTAAGGCGAACATCGCCAACTCGACGGCAACGTGGAAGATCGTCAACAGCCACTACAACCCATACGCCCACTATGCCGAAGCAGGCATGCAAGAGTGGTTCGACATCATCAATGGTACGGGTGTTCATTTGTGGTTAAACGGACACACCCACGGTGAAAACCATGACTATTCATCTTCGCTTGGTGTACACTTTGTCGATAACGGTGCCGGTGGTGGTATCATTAAGGAGTCCGCTAGTGGTATTCCGACGTATGCTGAGGACTACGTGGAGAATCTGTGGGTATACGATGGTACGGAGTATGGTTTCTTCTCGCTCACTGCGTCGAAAGATTGGCTGAAGCTGCAGTACCACACTGCTGATGATAAGTGGACGTATGCGGAAAGCTTTAACTCAACCACTGTCGGCGGTGTGGCTACAAAGCACTGCTGGTACGTCCCGAACGACGGTAGTGAAGGTCAAGAATGTACGTCGTCGTCGAGTTCCTCGTAGATATATTTCAAGTTTGTGTACACCATCGGCATTTTTTTTTGCTAGAAACCTAAAGAAAACTGTTTTTTTTTTACTTTTTATTTTCACTGAAAAGCGCCAACAACACCTCACTGTGGGAGTGGATTGTCAGCCATCTCCCGGTATGCACGGTACTCGATTTGGTAGGAATCGTTGCCAGGTCGATTCACCAGGTGTCGTACGTGTTGATCGGTCAGGATCTCAGACTTGTTATGGCTCGTTTTCACTGAAACCCGCTAATCAATGAGTTCCTGCCGGATCTCTAGTTATTAGTACACGAATGAACTACCGCTGCCTGTGCACACCCAATCAAGACAAATTAGCTCACTAGCGAATTCACTGCGGTCAAGGATAACAGGACAAATGGGGCTACCGAGGAAGACGTGGATTATCATCGGGGTGGTGGTCGTGTGCGCTGTCGTTGGCGTGATTGTCGGCGTGGTGATGACCAGCGGGTCATCTAGTTCGACCAGCTCCACTGATGGTGTCGACGCCAGCTCTTCGGATTCGAGTAGCAGAGCGTACACCTCCGACGGCACTGCATCATCAACCAAGAAGACGACAAAGAGCAATAAAAGTGGCTCCTCCAGCATCACGTCGGACCCCACCAGCGTCACCTACTCGTTGTCTGCCTTTGCTATCGGAGACTGGGGCACTACTGTCTCGCAGGATTCATGTTGTACTCGCTCTTCTACCTACAACGACTACGACATTAATGCCGAGGATATCGTGGCCAATCTGATGAATCAGCAGGCCGGTAGTGCTGATGTTGCCCCGAAGATTATCATCAGCCACGGCGATAATTTTTATTGGACTGGTATCAACAGCGATAACGGTCGTGACACTCGTTTCACGACGACATTCGAGGAAAAATACGACGGTGAAAACATCAAAACGATCCCGTGGGTGAATGTTTTGGGTAACCACGACTATGGTGGGGCCGACTACATTTGCTCGGATTCGGGCGACGGCACTGCTGCGTGCTCCGACTCGGACGAGCTTGTCACCGCTTTGAAAAACAAATTTTCATGGCAGTCAACGTACACGAGCCCGAACGACGATCGCTGGATTTTAGAGGACCATTTCTACGTCTACACTATCGAAGACGCAGATTCTGGTGTGAGCATTGACATCTTTAATGTGGACTCGGGCGATGCTGATACCCACGGCGCGATGCAGACTTGCTGTCAATGCTACGGCTACGCTGGAGACGATGACGACACCTGTGATAACGTATCTCGTGGAGACGATGCTTGTTGCGGAGGTGACACAGACATGTATGACGAGTGCATGGCCCAATTCACCGAGTGGAGCGATGATTCTCGCACGCAACTCGCTGCAAATATCGCCAACTCGACGGCAACGTGGAAGATTGTCAATAGTCACTACAACCCGTATGCTCACTATGCTGAAGCAGGCATGCAGGAGTGGTTCGATATCATCAATGGAAGTGATGTTCATTTGTGGTTAAATGGACACACCCACGGTGAAACCATGACTATTCGTCTTCGCTTGGTGTGCATTTTGTCGATAACGGTGCTGGTGGAGGCATCCAAAAGGAGTCTGCAAGCGGTATCCCGACGTATGCCGAGGACTATGTGGAGAATCTGTGGGTATACGATGGTACGGAGTATGGTTTCTTCTCGCTCACTGCGTCGGAGGACTGGCTGAAGCTGCAATACCACACGGCCGATGACTCGTGGTCGTATGCGGAGAGCTTTAACTCTACCACTATTGGAGGCGTGGCAACCAAACACTGCTGGTACGTCCCGAATGATGGAACCTACGGCCAGGACTGCACGTCCTCATCTTCGTCCTCGTCGATACTATCTAGGAAGATGTAGATATCATCAGACTGAATATCAGTGATATGCCCTTGACAGTCAAAGTATCGTTTTCAGGTTTTCATGGTGTTGAGGATTCATTTGGAATCCCAGCGTGCCTTCGCAAGGACCTTACAGCAGGATAGAGTGTTCAGCTTACTGAAGTAGAACTGACTACATGCCGTGTAGAACCTACACGTAGGTCTTAAAAGTGGTGGCGTCGTTGAGGAGTTCTCGAGTCCAATGCGGCCATAGTGGCTGTAGGCTTGGGTGTCTGTCCCATTAGTCTGTGTGGATCTCCGTGATGTTCGTGTCCGCATGGCGGCCAATGAGCCATCCTTTGGCCACCTGAAAATCACAGTTGTTGCAGATGTCTTGCCGTTCGGATGCACGGTTGGAAGCGGAAATTAAAACTAAAAAAACAAAAATTTCTAACATCAAAACTATTTCAGCCAATAGACGTTCAGTTTACCGTTCACCAGCGAATCAGAGACTGGGAAATATAACCACAACCGCAAAGCCGGACATGGCAGAGTCAGTGTGCCGGGCGTACCTCTGACCGGCTCATTTAAGCTTTCACGGCGGACCGCAGACTTGGATTCCCCCTCTCCACTCCTCAGTCAATTTCCACCTGGAGTACCAAGCAGCTCATTGCCCATTGAAATGGTTTCCAAGAAGGTCGCTATCACCGGCGTGGTGGTCATTTTGGCTGTCATCGGCGTGATCGTCGGCGTGCTGGTCGCGCGCAAGTCCAGCGACTCAGCCAGCGAGTCCTCAGGCACGAACAGCTCTGGCTCCGGCTCAACGAGCACCACCAGCGGCAGCGGGACGTCCACCACATCGTCGTCTTCGAACTCCGGCACCACCTACAAGCTCAAGAACTCGACCAGTTCGGCCTCCAGCTCCGTCACTTCCGACCCGACCGATGGTGAGCTTTTTGACATTCTTATGAGACGGTACCGGAACTGGCGTTAATGATTTGTGTTTTGCATGTGTGGAATAGCCAAGTTCACCCTCTCAGCCTTCGCAATCGGTGACTGGGGCACTACCGTCACCAAGGACTCGTGCTGTACTCGTTCGTCGACCTACAACGACTATGATGTCAATGCCGAGGACATTGTGGCAAACCTCATGAACCAGCAGGCCATGGCCGCCTCAGCCGCCCCCAAGTGCATCTTGAGCCACGGTGACAACTTCTACTGGACGGGTATTGACAGCGAGGACGGACGTGACTCCCGATTCACAACCACCTTTGAAGGCAAGTACGATGGTGACAACATCAAGAGTGTCCCGTGGGTCAATGTGCTGGGTAACCACGACTACGGTGGCGCCAGTTACATCTGCTCGGACGGCGATAACCCGGCCGAGTGCTCGGATGCCGACGCTATCGTGACTGCTCTTGAGAACAAGTTCTCGTGGCAGTCGAAATACACCAGTCCTAACGATGATCGTTGGATCCTAAAAGACCATTTCTACGTCTACTCGATCGAGGATAAAGACTCTGGTGTGAGTATCGACATTTTCAATGTCGATTCGGGCGATGCTAGCACCCACGCTGCGCAGCAGACTTGCTGTCAGTGTTACGGATACGCTGAGGGTGACGATGACACGTGCAAGAACGTTGCTCGTGGTGACAAGCTGTGCTGCGGTGGAGACGCGGACATGTACGACGCCTGCTACGCCAAGTTCACGGAGTGGAGTGACGACTCACGTAAGCAGCTTGCCAAGGAGGTGGCATCGTCCAAAGCCACGTGGAAGATCGTCAACAGCCACTACTCGCCGTACGCTCACTACGATGAGGACGGCATGGCCAAGTGGTTTAAGATTCTCAAGGATTCGGGCATCCAACTCTGGATGAACGGACACACGCACGGTGAGAACCACGACTACTCATCGACCTACAAGGTTCACTTTGTCGACAACGGTGCAGGCGGTGGTATCCAGAAGGAGTCTGCCAGTGGCATCCCCGAATATGCTTCGTCTGATGTTGAGGCCGTATGGGCGTATGGTGGTCAGGAGTACGGCTTTATGTCGGTGGAGGCGTCGGAGGAGTGGCTGAAGTTGCAGTACCATACAGCAGACGACTCGTGGTCCTTCTCAGAGAGCTTCAACTCGACTAAGATCGGCGGAGTTGCTACCAAGCACTGCTGGTATATCCCGGTGGACGGTGGCACCGGCAAGGAGTGTTAAACAACTTGAACGTACATGAGAGTTTTGAATGGATAAATCGTTTTGATACATTTTGGTGTGTGCATCCAACGTGGGTAAATTTGCTTTGGTTGCCACATCGCCAAAGTGCTCGACTTGTTGAGTGTGTCCTCTCTGCCTGTTGCAAGTTGCCGGATTTTGCCAAGAGAGAGAAATGATGGACGCTAAAGCCACGATGCGCGTTTATTGTGGAGAGTACGACACGATTTGGCAGCAAGTTTCGCCTTTATCGTTGCCTCGAGAGTCAATTCAGATGTGAGGAGATGTTTTTCTTGGCACATTTCCAAAGCTCTCGCCTCGTCTACTGCAATTAAACCCAAAGCTCTTGGTGTTCGAAGAGGACAAAGTCTCTTTTACACGTAAGATTTAATCAAAAAGAGCCAGAAAACAAGCACGAGGGAGCGGATAGGCCACTGTTCAGAGCAGTAACATGGGGGCACCACTGAGTTCGTGCTCATTTGCGCTTTTGCCGAGGAGGAGAGGCATTAGAGCTCCCGTCAGGAGGACAGGACACACTTACAGCAGCTACAACAGGACAGCAAAGCCAAAGACGTCAAAATGATGTCCAAGAAAGCCCAGCTTGTCGGCCTGGTGCTGGTTCTCGCCATCATCGGCGCCATTGTCGGCGTCATGGTAGTTCGCAAGTCGAGCAGCTCAGCCAGCGAGTCGTCGGGGACTACTTCGACTGGCTCGGGCTCCACTGTGTCTGATAGCGACGGCGACAGCACGACCGCCAGCTCGTCCAGTGGCAAGAGCTCAGTGTCGAAGAAGAAGAAGACCACCTCGGGTTCAGGCTCGGGTACCGGCTCAATTACATCCGATCCGACTTCCGGTAAGATTGTTTTCGCTAGTGTCATGTAGAGGCTCCCAGCTCTGACTCATTGTTTTACCATTCAGCCAAGTACACTCTTTCGGCCTTTGCTATTGGTGACTGGGGTACTACAGTCACGCAGGACTCGTGCTGTACTCGTTCTTCGACCTACAACGACTATGACGTCAACGCAGAGGACATTGTGGCCAATCTGATGGACCAGCAGGTCACTGCTGCATCGGCACCCCCTAAGTGCGTTCTCAGCCACGGTGACAACTTCTACTGGACGGGCATTGACAGCGAAGGCAGCCGCGACTCCCGCTTCACTACCACTTTTGAGAAGAAATACGGAGGTGACAATATCAAGAATGTTCCGTGGGTCAACGTGCTGGGTAACCACGACTACGGTGGTGCTAGTTACATCTGCGCAGACGACAAAGGCCTCGCGGCGTGCTCCTCAGCCGATGAGCTGGTTAAAGCGCTGTCGAACAAGTTCCAATGGCAGTCGGATTACACGAGTCCGAACGATAACCGCTGGGTTTTGAAGGACCATTTCTACGTTTATTCCATTGAAGACAAGGACTCCGGTGTGAGTATCGATATTTTCAATGTGGACGCAGGAGATGCCAGTACCCACGGTGCGCAACAGACTTGTTGCCAGTGCTATGGCTACGCTGAAGGCAGCGACAAGAAGTGCAAGAATGTTGCTCGTGGTGATAAACTGTGCAGTGGTGGCGATACCGAGATGTTCGACGCTTGTTTCGACAAGTTTACCGAGTGGAGTGATGATTCACGCAAGCAACTCGCTAAGGAGGTGGCAGCTTCTAAAGCCACGTGGAAGATCGTCAACAGCCACTACTCGCCGTATGCTCACTACGATGAAGCTGGTATGAAGAAATGGTTCGACGTGCTTCAGGATTCGGGTGTTCAGCTCTGGATGAATGGCCACACTCACGGTGAAAACCACGATTACTCGTCGGCCTATTCCATTCACTTCGTGAACAACGGTGCTGGTGGTGGTATCCAGAAGGAATCTGCCAGTGGTATTCCTGAGTTTGCTGCTGGTGATGTGGAGGCGCTGTGGGCTTATGGTGGCCACGAGTACGGCTTCATGTCGGTGGAGGCATCGGAGGAGTGGCTAAAGCTGCAGTACCACACGGCGGATGACTCGTGGTCGTTCGAGGAGAGCTTCAAGTCGACGAAGGTCGGTGGCGTGGCGACGAAGCACTGCTGGTACATTCCACTGGATGGCGGCGAAGGCAAAGAGTGTTAAGCTAGACACTGTGGCCGAAATGGCAGCTATTGTACTAAGTCTACATGTAGATCGCAGTGTTGTTCAATCTACTCTGATAAAACTACGTGTGTGCTCCGATAGTATCTCTCTGCTGCACGACAGATCTCGCCACATTTGCACAACAATATGTTTGACAATACTGTTGACACCAACTGTAGTAGTACTACAGTACAGCACATTTGATTTTCCTTGCCATATGTTGAGAGATTCCAACGCTATCGCAGATTAATGCGAGCGAGCTGTTAATCGAGGTCTTCACCGATACTCCTGCAACAACAATGCAAGAAGACATTCTATAGCAGCTAAAAGCTCTGCGCGATGGGTCTAACCGCTTCATAACGGCTACAGCGAAGGTCGCAGAGAGGTGCCCCGAAGGTCGCTCCACAGCGACGCCTTTGTTGCCAATCCAAACTCGCGGTACTGTAAGGCAAAGTCGAGTGTCCCGTAAAGAAAAAAAAATTGTTTTTGAATTTTTTTTGTAACAAATCAGTTTCGTCCGCTGCGAACTAGCGGTTTACTACCATTCGTTCATATCGTTCAGTTTTTTTTTTAAAGTATTTCGATTGATCATTTTCCAATTTGTCTCTTCCTGCACAGCCGAAACAAGCTCGCCTTCTACTTCGCCATGACTTATTGACCTCGCCGAAACTAGCGACGCCTCCCAGGCCCTCTCAATTCCCGAGGTCGGAGCCGAAAAGCGGTTTGGGATCTGATGGATGTGGACGACAAGGACGTGTGGTGCAAGCGCTGCGGCAAACTTATCTACAATTCTTGATGAACCCATACCGAGCGCGTCAAGAAGCATGTGTACACCAGATGCTCCAACAGGCCATCCTCCTTCAAGATAACTGACATCTACCAGCCCAAGATGAACACGTCTGTACTGAAGGAGTTTCAGGAGCGGTTTGCATGGGCGAGGCCGTCCGCAAAAGTAACCAGGATCTTCATGTCGTCAAACTCGGGCGTGAGGTGAAAACAAGACAAGAAATGCAGCCTTTCGTGACAATTTGTTTTAGACTGCCAATCAACGGAGGATGGACTTTTTCGGTGCTTGGGTGGGTGGGTTTTTGAATTTGTTCCTTTTAAATCCACCCCATCGGATCACTGGGTAGATGGGTGGATAATATAATTAGTTCTCTACCAAAAAAAAAACATTGAGAACCCTGGCGGCAGGCAGCTGCCACAATTCTTCTCGCGGTCATAGCTCGGCCTTCAGGACCCGCCATGACCTCCAAGGTGGCCCATTCGCAACCTTACTACTGTATCACGGTGTTCCACGATTCTGAATGCACCATTCTGCGCACCTGACGATGTGTTATTGAGACTTTACCCGAAAGTGCAGCCTGGAGGCTGCACTTTCGGGTAAAGTGATAGGTGCAGGTCGAGCCGAAAACGTGTAATAGCGTGCAGAACATCAAGAAACGGAAAGACTTTGCGGACAGCCTGCTAGCTCATGCGAGAAATGGATCCTTCATTGTGTACTATGATGAAACGAATTACGATACTTATTGTAAGCAATCCCAAGGACGCGCCCTCATTGGTGAGCGGGCTGTGATTAAGCTGCCACCTTCCAAAGGTGCAAACCTACAGTTGCAATGCGCGATTTCACCCGAAGTGGGGCTAGTACACTGGGCTAAGCAGCGTGGAAGTATCAAGATGGAGGCGAATGCGGCCTTTGTGGACGATGTGTACGACGGTGTGAAGGCTACAGATGTCTACCGAGACTTCTTTGTTGGTAAAGCTATCGTTATCATCTTGGATAACGCTCCCGCTCATAGCCAGTCTGAAGACTTGATCAAGAACCGGGAAGACCTGGAGCTGCTACGGTTGGGCCCGTACTCGCCTATGTGTAACCCCATTGAGGGTACGTACTGCCCAAAGGAGATGCATTGATCAGTACTAACAATTCTAATTGCTTTTAAGGTTGCTTTAGCGTGTTAAAGGCTTGGAGCAAGGCTTTTCTCGTCTTCAATGCCGATCAAATGTTCGACTTGCCCTATGGTGATAAAACGGAGTGGAGAATGCGATTGCTGGAGAATGCTGCAGACCACTGCATTGAATGTATGGATCTCCGTCTTGTCAACAGGGTGACTCGCCACAGCGCACATGCAGTTGCTGCTGCTGTTCGCAACGAACCCATGCAGTATGGACTTTAAGATCGTTTGGTTTACACTAAATCCACATTGATCTGGAGCGGGTGGTCAGAACTGGTCCGCTTTTCTGTGACGTGAGATGTATTTATTAATATAAGCTATAGTAAATCTTGTATAATAACTACGGTTTTCCATAACCCTGTCTGCCGCGGAGTGAAGCCTGGGAGGCCATGATTTTGGTTTTGTCCGCTCACACAACGGTGGTGCGGGACACACGATATGTGCCGGCGAGAACACAGCGTGTCGCACGCCCAACAGCCTGTGCTTTCTATGTTTGTACGTCAACCACGGTTTTGAGTGGAAGCTACAAAATGCATGTGTGTTTTCCGTATTTACTCCACGCTTTATGATTTCTCGCAGTTATTAATTATTGAAGGTACTTCATTAGTTTTCACAGGAAACCTCCGACATTTGGATAACCGCGTTTGTGGGATAAGCGCCTTGGAATCCAATGCTTGGATAACCGCGCATCAATGTTGTGGGAAGCGCGAAAACTTTCGTGCTGATCGAAAGCTGGTCCGGCTGGGCTCGTCCATGCAGAGTGCGACACGTTTTTAGTCTATGGTGCCAGATGTCCCTCTCAATAAGAATTTGTTGATTCAAAAATATGCTTACAAAGATTACAAATTTACGCATTTTCAATCGAATTAATCGAGTTGACGGTTCTCTTCAGAGGTATATTACCTACGAGAGGATTGTCAAAAAATCAGATATCTTGTGCACAAGGTTTTTCATTTCGAGGTTTTTCCAGTTCCGTGGGTCAACCTGGATTCGGCACTCTTCAAATTCGCTTCGAGTGGACAAGAGATTTTTTCACTCTTCGGCAAGTGTAGGTGGGAAATCAAGCAGCGCAAATGGCGGTCAACAAGCGCCTGGTAATTATCGGTATCGTGGTGCTTTGCGCCGTGGTGGGCGCCATCGTGGGCGTTCTCGTAGCCACCAAGTCGGACTCGTCTTCAACGTCTTCTGAGGAATCTGGCAACTCAAGCGATTCGACCTCCAGCGGCGGTGGCACCAGCTCGTCCACCAGCAAGAAATCGTCCAATTCATCAACGGGCAGCAGTTCCGTCACAGCCACTGTGACCTCCGACCCGACCTCAGGTATGACTTTCATTCATTCTGTGGCAGAGATTTGCAAGTCTGACAATGGATTTTCTCATTTTTTTTTATTTTAATTTTATCAAGTGACATACTCGCTTGCGGCTTTTGCCATCGGAGATTGGGGAACTACCGTGAACAAGGACTCGTGCTGCACGCGTTCTGAAACATACAACAACTACGATGTTGTCGCCGAAGATGTCGTGTCCAGCCTCATGAACACGCAGGCAGGTGCAGCTGATGTCAAGCCTAAGGCCATTCTCAGCCACGGTGACAATTTCTACTGGACAGGCATCAACAGCGAAGATGGACGTGACTCCCGTTTCACGACCACCTTTGAAGGCAAATTCGACGGTGACAACTTGGCTGGAATTCCCTTCATCAACGTGCTGGGTAACCACGACTACGGTGGTGCCAGTTACATTTGCTCCGATGGCGACAACAACGCCCAATGCAGCACCACGGACGAACTTATCACAGCTCTGGAGAACAAATTCAAGTGGCAACAGGAGTACACGAGTCCCAATGACGACCGCTGGGTGCTCAAAGACCACTTCTACGTCTACACTATCGAGGACTCCGACTCAGGCGTCAGTATCGACATCTTCAACGTGGACTCCGGTGATGCCGACGTCCACGCTGCTCAGCAAGTGTGTTGCCAGTGCTACGGATACTCGGAAGGTGACGACGACTCGTGCAACAGCGTCGCTCGTGGTGACGATTTCTGCGCTGGCGGAGACACGGACATGTATGACACGTGCTTTGCCAAGTTCACAGAGTGGAGTGATGATTCGCGCAAGCAATTGGCTGAAAAGGTGCAAACTTCCAATGCCACATGGAAAATCGTCAACAGCCACTACAGTCCCAGTGTGCACTACGCCGAAACTGGTATGAAGGAGTGGTTTGACATCTTGGAAGGCTCTGGCATCCACGCGTGGGTGTACGGCCACACTCACGGTGAGAAACACGACTACTCGGAGTCTCTCGGTGTGCACTTCGTCGAGAACGGTGCTGGTGGTGGTATCCAGAAGGAATCAGCCAGTGGACTCACCACGTATGCGGCTGAGTATGTCAGCAACGTTTGGACGTACACAGGTGACGAGTACGGCTTCTTCTCGTTGACGGCATCGGAGGACTGGTTGAAGCTGCAATACCACACAGCCGATGACTCGTGGACATTCGGCTCGAGCATGAGTGCCACAACTGCTGGTGGTGTGGAGACCAAGCACTGCTGGTACATCCCAGCGGACGGTACGAAGGGCGAGGAGTGCTCGTCGTAAGCATTTAACCCGTTTGTTATGATGGAGGCGTGCCCGCCTTATGAGTGAGTACTAAGACCTTTTAATTCCTCGTAGAAAGGAAACACTTGTAGTTGTAGGTCAGTGAACAGGAAGAGGCACATTCCCGACAATCGTATCATTTTCATTTTCATTTTCATTCGCACTTGCATTTTCATAAAAAGATGCTAGTTGCAGTTCAACTCGCTGTCTCTTTCTTCAGATAGTGTACACCACACCAAACTGGGAGTTGCCTTTTTTCTGGTTGGATAAGCGCAGCAGGTCATTCAGTGCCAACAGCTCCGTTCCATTCTTCCTCTCGCTATGAGTGTCGCGGGGGCGTATGCGCTGTTGCTGTCGGCAACAATGCATGGAGTCGATGCGTGGGTGATGCGGACAGTGACGTCTTATCAGGCGCGCGTGGAGACGTACGCTCCGGTTTGGGACGACGACAACCAGGTGTTCGTGTCGGGAATCCCGAATTCTGTGTCTTCCGGTGGAAATCTCACTTTTAACGAGCGATATCGAGCCACAATGGACTCCGTCACCACATCTAGCATCGAGGGAGCGCTCATGTACTTGCAACGAGACTGTATCGACCGTGGCGCCGACCCGACGGACGAATCGGTGAACTGTCAGCGTAAGAACAACGTGAGCGTCATCACGTTCCTAGAGGTGCAAATTGTGCAAACCAACGCTGCATTGGCCGAGTATCAGGAGCAGAAATACATGTACCCCGAATTCTGCCCGTTTGTGATGATGGAGGATGGAGAATGTGTCTATGCCGACGTACAGAACAATGGAGATGCGAGCTCTGAAAGTGGCTCCAGTCGACAACATCCGCCAGAATGCAAACAGTTCAACGGACTTGATGGACAGCCACATATTGGACCGTGTGTGGGAGCTCAAGCATTTGCAGCGGATATGGTGGCGCCGTATTATGATACGGTTTGGTTCTCGTACCCGAATAGTTGCGTGACGTCGAGCTGGAAAACTGGGAAGAGCGACACGTGTCGAGAACAATATCCGGGTGGACTGTGCTCGTTTGGAACAGACCCTGATGGAGTGAAGTGCACATTTTCATATAAAATTTTGGGCTATCTGTCGATTGATCAATTAGTGGGGATCACAGCGATTAATGCTACTGACAGTACAAGCTCAAACTCGTCTGCATCGTCGAGCTCGTCAGCGATTGACAACGTCCAGAAAGCCTCGAGCAAGTATTATAAGAACTACAACGCATTCTGCGAGGCTGGTAACGTGGAATTCCATTCGTATGATCAAGACAAAACACTTGGATTAAAGAACGTGAGCAGCATTCCTTTCTGGGAAAACCCGTCTTCGCTCGAGGCCAATATTGCACGTACGCAACAGATGATCGCGCTTTATAACGCACTGGCGGACGAGTCGACGAATCACATGCAGAAATTGCCCACCGATCTGGATGCGCTTCGTGAAGCAAACCCTCCTTGCTATGAGAATGCTGAAGTCTGCTACAAGGCCCAGTTCGGCTGCAGGCGGCATTCCTACGCGCAGGTTTGTTCAGTTTGTCGAGGTCAACGAGATCTCTGTGTTCGGCAAATTTCATCCTATACATTCCCAGAGCTCGAGAAGGCGTCGCGAACGGTGTCTGATAACGAGCTCCGTAGCGGTATCTTTGCCACCCTGGCGACGCAAATCGCTGCTACCTCGAGTACCAGCGGCAGCACGAGTGGCGCAGCACCCATTCATGCCGGTGTGGATACATTTGCGTTGGTGTTGCAGGGATGTAGTCTCCTTCTCTTGATCTGGCCAGCGCTTCGATGAGCACCTGGCTGCTGTAACTTTCAGAAATATTAATGTGTATAACTAACAAAACATTCACAATTTGCTATTTTCTTGTTGCCCTCACCTGGATATCCTGTTGCTCTTCTCGAGCTGGGCAACAAAAAGCAAGTTGCCTTTACTTGATCAAGTAATCATCACTGCGACATCAACATTCCGACAGCATAGTGAACCTAAGTGAACCCATGGCATTACCCAATTTCCATCTAAACTAGCGAGACACATCCGAATTGCTCGACTACGATCGATGCCGCTCCATCACCGCTTCGCCTTTTTCCTGTGCTGCATTGCGGCCTTGGCCTTCATCTCCGTCACGGATGCGGCTGACTGCACATCTACGGAGATCGCGGAGCTCTCGACGCTGAGCAGTAATGTCACCGCCGTCTGCGGTAGCGATGCGCTGTCCAGTTCAATGTCCACGACCACCTACTGCGCCGACAGCTCATGCTTGGCCTTCCTCACCAGTATAGTCTCCAGTGTCCCGTCCTGCGAACTGGAGAGCTACAACTTACGCACAGTATTGACCACTGCCATCCGCTCCTGCGACGCCGCGTCAGACGCTGTCCCCGCTTCGAGATCAAGCTCCCAGTCACTGCATCGTACACCGCAATGGACAGCATCAAACCTACTTGTGCGTGGACTACAAGCTGCCGTCGTTCTTGTCATAGCGAGCGGCGTTCTCTGAAACCCTAGTAAAAACCCTAGTGTCATAGTTCACTTAATCTAATGTCAACTTTCGCTCATGTGGTGCACATCATTTTCGTATTGTCATAATTGTTCATCCCAAGTTAGAATTTCCTAGCCATCAAGCCACCATGGCCGAGCTGTACGCGGAAGTGGCGGATGAGGAGCAGCGGCTGGCGCGTGGGCCGTCGCAGCGTCAGTACTGGGACCGTAAGACGTTCTCTTCGTTCGCTGAGCAGCAGCGCGCCATGGAGCGCTCCAGCACGTTGTATGTGGGCAACTTGTCGTTCTTCACGTCCGAAGCGCAAATCTACGAGCTGTTCAGCCGCGTGGGTCACGTGAAGCGCGTCATTATGGGCCTCGACCGCTTCAAAAAGACCCCATGCGGCTTCTGCTTCGTCGAATACAGTACACATGCCGAGGCTGAAGCCTGTGCCCAGTTCCTGAGTGAGACCAAACTGGACAACCGCGTGGTGCGCTGCGAAATGGACGGCGGCTTCCGTGAGGGCCGCCAGTTCGGCCGCGGACTGTCGGGAGGTCAGGTACGAGACGACAGACGCTCCAAGGACGACTACGACGCGGGACGTGGCGGCTACGGACGTGGAGACGACGCCACGGCGGACGGCCACCACTTCCGTCGCTCGGCTCACGTTAAGAGGCCTAGAGACGACGGAATGACGGCGGACGAACCACCTGCCAGTCGTCAGCGACGCCCCGACTCGCCTAGAGACGAAGTTAAGGAGGAGGAGAACCCGAGATTCCGCCATCGGGAGAACGACGCGGACGGGGAAGATGAACCCGCTGAACAGGCGACGACGGAGCAGCCTGTGCAGGACTTGCAGGAGACGACGGAGGCGTAGGAGGAAGGTGATACCTTGTCAGACCTCACGTGTAATGCATGCCGCTTTGTTTCTAAATACCCTCTTAAGTATATAGACTGAGACTTTGCACGATTCCATTAAACGGAGCCGAACTGCAATAGCTCAACATTTGAACCATTGCAATACCATGGTCCAAAACGAATCTATAAGTAAGCTCCTCCATCACCAGAATGCCCGGAGCTATTCCTTGCTTAGAATAGAGCTTGCAACGTTCTGCTCTCTGAGCATGCTTTCTTTTGGAGCGTATTTATTCATAGGAGGGATATCCTCTTCTGTTCAAGTGCTTGAGCAAGACGTAATTATCACTAGTTGAGCAATCTCATGTCTGGATGCTATAGATGTCACCGCCAAGACCCTCTTATGAGAAACAGAAATAGTCAGCAACACCGGTGTACGACACTGCTTACCTCTATGAAAAACTCAGTTCGCAATTTGCCTCCCACGACAACCAACCAACCAACCCAATTAACCATGCGCCTATACGCTTCTCGCTTTCGCGCTCTTCTGGTTCTCATTGTCGCAATCAGTGCTCACAGAACTGCTGAAGCCTCAACGTGCAAGACTCTGCTCGACTCGACCAGCACATTCGCTAAGTCCCTGGCTTCTTGGACTGAGACCGACCTCTCTTCGATCGACTTCCCCACCGTCTTCAAGGAGATCAATACTGCGCTCCCTTGGTTCTCCAAGTGTGCAGCAGCCATCGACCCCAAGGCAATCTACACGTCCTTGGCCAGTTCCTCGTCCGTTAAGAGCTGCTTTTCTGCGCTCGAGAGCTTCGATGGGGACCTTGGCACCAACGACGGATGGTCAAGTATGTGCACTATAACTGAAGATACCATCATGCCGTGTGTCAAGTCTGTCATGACCAACACCATCATGGACGCTTTGGACAGCACTGGAGGTTGTTGCGACGACTTCAACAACGAGATGAATACTCTGTTTGGTGATTCTCTCGACGAATTCGTGATTAAACTCACTGAACTCAGTGCCAACATCGCGTGCAGTGAGCGAACGTTCACGAACCTCAAGAGTGTGTCAACTAAAGAAATGTGTGGCTACTCCATCTACAACGCCTTCACCTTTATCCAGTCGGACGATGAGATCTCGTCTCTGATGAACCTGGCCGAAATCCCCAACGACCAAATGTGCAATGCGTTTGCAGGCAAGGCTTTCACCAACACGGACGGTAAAAGTGTCACGATTGGATTCGGCACCAACGGAGTCGACACTATGGGCATCTGCCTCGATCCTATCGATACCTTCAATCAGTACATGAAGTCGTGGGGTATCTTCTCGGAGACTATGAATGCAGATGGCACAACTGTCTCGCTATCGGATCTCTTCACGTCGGGCAAGTCAATCACTGGTGACGTCTTCTTCTCCTATGCCACCACGTCGACGAATCTGCCGTTGATCGGGCTTCGAGCCACGGACAACGTGATCAAGGCTCTGGGTGGTGGAGAAGACAACGAGACTGACACTTTCTTGGAGGATTGGTTTGTCGACACACTCAACGGTATGAAGGCCGACGCAAAGTCGCTAAATCTCCACATCCCAAACAATGGCGACTGCAGCTACTCTGGCCAGTCAATCACGGTGCCGTACGAGGAGACCTCCTCTGCGGTTACTGCTACCAGTGCGGCCTCCTCGATCAAGTTATCGGGGCTTATGACGGCCGGTGTGGCGCTGCTTTCGACGGCGTTGCTGAGTGCCATCCTGTAGATCTTCTCAGTCTGTAGCAGGAACCTTGACTTTTTAGAACAGCCAACTCAAATTTCTAGATCTAAACATTTATAAACACAACCTTCGTTCATCGCTACAGGGGATGTACCAGCCCAGCCAACCGAGTTGGGCACGATCTCCTCCGCCATACTCTCGTTTTAACGCGAACTGTTAGAGACTGAAAGAAGTCTCTAAACCATGG